GTTGACCTATTTTCATTAAAAAAAATCCCAGAATTGCACAAAAATGGCATTGCACACACTCTTGACTTTATCCATGTACACTGCTAAAGGTCCTAACTTTATCACCTTGCCAAAATGTCACCAAACTACCTGTTACCATATTCCAAAGATTAGCCGATCGAATTTCTATTGAAATTATCATTCAGTTACAAAAAAGAAGAGCCAGAGCCTTCTTATTTAAGGCTCCTTTGCTCTCCGCCTAGAATTACAATTTATTCCCAAAACTAAGAAGTACCGGAGCCGGGCTCCACTGCAATTTAAGCTCTGACTGTGCCACAGTCTTAGACCAACATCACCTCATTAAAATATAACTGATATATCAAGTGACACTGCTATGGCATGTGTATAAAATCCAATCAGAAAACAAAGAAATGGAGATAATATTGTAGCCATATACCTATGCAAGTACTATGTTTTTGCTTTCATTATATCACCATACCTGCTAATAAATGAAAATAGATACATATTTTTTGTTTTATAATAAGCAGAACTTTTGGTACTTTTCTGTACACACATATGTATGTATAATAGGGCTTAATTTCTAAAATTAGAATTGTTAGAGCCCTATAGAATAAGGGGGAAAATAAATAAAAAATAATAAAATGGACTAATAATTAAACTAAAATTAAATAAAATATAAGCATAGAAACAAAAAATTAATAAATTCTTGATATATATAGTTAAAAAGAAATAAAATACCAGGCCTCATTTTATTTGGAGCTGGCTGGACTTAAATTTCATTCAGAAAACTAAACAATAGCTTAGTCGGCTTCCGGCTGAATTCAAGTCGTGAATATACAGTATAACGTACTATTTTAAGAGATGAGTGAAACAAAAACTAATCATTTTTGAGCGCACGAATGGGGAAAAAAGTAAATCGATTAAAGTGTCACTACTGAGAATAGAGCGATTACTAGAAACAATACGAGCATATGGAAACAATTTTAATCAAGCGTAGCTTCGAAAACAAAGAGGGAAGAGTCTAACGCTTTCTCACTGCGATGCCCTGCCGATATAATTCTAGCTGTCAAGCAGAATGCAACTGGACAAAAAAATTTCCCTCAAAATTCTGATTCGGTAACAATACGAGGAGCAATGTAAGGTCAACACAAGTGAAAATTTTTGTCCCCCCATGTGGTTACGTAGTTGAAGTGTGCAGGAGCTCAGCAGTGAGGGGTCACTAGTGCTGGTCATGCACGACTAACATTTCCTAACAGAAGACATGGTCATGCCAACAGCTGCTTCTGTCAGGAGGTGTTGGCATGACCAAGGTAACTACTTTTAGTACTTTCAGGAATAAAACCTTTCGGCTGATCTTTGGAATATGGTAACTGGTAGTTTGGCGACATTTTGGAGGCGATAAAGGTTACTACCTAGGACTTTGGTAATAATGTGAGCAGTACTCAGTTCTGATTACGCATTATTTTGTGGGAGGGAAATGAGAGATCATGAGATATGTCATGTGATATTAATGGACAAATTACAGTTCTTTAATCGGAAAAGGGGGAAATTTGGAAAAATATCTGTGGCAGTATATTATTTTGTGTTAAGCTTCATTGTGTGTTGTGTGAAGTAGTGTTGAATAATTTTCGGATTGTATGGCACTGTGTAATATTATTTTAAAGATCCAGAAACAGGTGCACATACCAATACAATAGAGGGCACGTGGAGTGCTATAAAAAGCGCCATTCCGAGGCATTGTGATAAAGAGAAATTTTGCTTTTTATTTAGTGAATGAAGTGTGGAGGAAAAATTCGCAGAAAAATTCGTTCAATAATTTTATTGGATCAATAATAAAAGTGTATCCACCATGTAAGCAAGATTCTGAAGAAGATTAGGTAAGTTAGTATTTGTAAGTTAGTATTTTTAATTATTTGAGGATATTATTTTTATGCATTGTTCGGTACTATTCCGTTTCGATGGCCGTAAAAAATCGCCAAACTATTATTGATGCCAATGCTGCCAAACATAATTGCGGCAAGAAAGGAAGTATAATAGTAAATAACTATTTAAGATTGATGTTTTAATTTAGATGAAAGGTTAATTTCATATAATACTTTTTTATTATTATAATTTATATGAAAAAGGCTAAACATGACTGAATGGAAGCATAAGAGTAAATAATTTTTTCAGATCATTATTATAATTTATATAAAAATTGCTAAGCATAACTGAATGGATGCCTGCTTCGCTATTTCGCTACCGACTTTATCGCTGAAGCATAATTTCATCTCGTTGGTTGTTCAAACGTAATTTTCTATAATGACTGACGCCTTTTCTTTGAAAATATTCTCGGTAAAGTGCAGAATCGCTCACTTATTTGTTTGCCGCTTTTTACAAGGGTAAAAACAATTGGATTTTTGTCAATTTTCTTTTACTTTTTAAGTGAAAATAGGTCGATGTGTACATAGATAAAGTCAAGGGTGTGCGCAGTGCCATTTTTGTGCAATTCTAGGATTTTTTTTTAAGTGAACATAAGTCGATGTGCACATGGATACCGAGTATGTGCAATTCTTAAAAACGCGTCAAGCAGTGGGTGATTCTGCGCTTTACCCAAAATTCTATTGCCGACTTTTCGTCATGGGCGATTCCCAAATTGTTAAATCCATAGCATATCAAAAAAGGATTTAAAAATTAAAGTAGTATTTCAATGATGTCTTAAGAAATATAGAACTATATAAACTTACGCAATCTGAAATCAGCACGTACGCTAGATTTGGCGCGCTGTTAAATGGGCGCGTTTGCGCGTACATATTCGCTGCAATTTTTTTACGGCCCTCGAAACCGAATAGTACCCATTGTTCTAAATGTAAGGTGGAAGTAAAGTAATTTGGTATTATTGGAAAATTGTTATTAGCAATGATTTAGTTTAAAGTAATTAGGATTGTAAGCTAATTTTTATTAATTTAACGTATGTGCTTATTTATATTTTAAGTAGTGTTTTTGAATTTAATTATATTTTAATTAAATGATAGTTATTTTGTGAATTATATGTTTGTAGAATTTGGTATATGTTAGAGTGGAAGTAAACGTGCATGGAAATAATTTAAATATTTGACACTAAGTATTTGTAACCATTTGTAATGTTTGCGGTATGAATTAGTTGGTGACGTTTGTAATATAATAGATAATGTAGAGGTAAGTTTTTGGATATTTTATTTATTTTATACGTGGAAATGTTCATATTTGGAAAGGGTATATACTTTTTCGCGATCAGGTAATTTCATATATGTTCTTTTTACCGGGTTTAAAGATTCAAAAATTGTCATGCATTTTCGTGAAATTTTTCTAATCTATGAGAAAAAAGCAGTGTACATGGATATAGTGAAGAGTGTGCACAATGCCATTTTTGTGCAATTCTGGGATTTTTTTTAAGTAAAAATAAGTCAACATGTACATGGTTTATGTGTATGTGTTTATTCTGAAAAACGCGCAAGGAGTTTGCTATTGTGCACTTTTTCCCAATTTTGCAGTGAATATTTCTCATGATTAAGCAGTTTTGTTAGATAAAATTTCTAGCATAAGTGTAATTTGGCTAGTAGATTGTTGGAAAAAGTGTTGAGTAAATAAAAAGAAAAGAAACATGTCTTTACTTCGTGAAGAGAAAATGGCGGCGAAAAAAAATAGAGGGTTGGTGTAGCAGAGTTGGTCGCCAAATTTTCGCCAAGTTACCATAATCCAAAGATCAACCAACCTTTTTCCTGATCACTAATTCATAGCAGAATAAGTCTTTGATGTGTGAATGGGAGATTTTCTTTTCTTAAAAATCTTAACACCTCCGTCAAAGTGTTTATTCCCCCATAGGAAGACAGGCATGCATTTGGAAGTTGTAACCACATATATATTTTTAAAATAAAATTTGTCTGCTGAAATTGTGTTTCATTTACACAAAAGAAGTGCAGGAGCTCTTTTATTTAGGGCTCCGGTGCACTCCGACTAGAAGACCGAGTTACCTCAGAAAATGAGAAGTACTGGAGCCGGGCTCCCGCACAATTTAAGATATGCACAAGCACACATACATATATACATGCATAATATTCCAAATGCAGTTCTGATTGAAAAAAAAAAAAAAAAAAAAAAAAAAAAAAGTACCGTACTTTTTTTCCTCTTCCTATACACTTAACTATTGTATTATATGGTGCATTTGATACCCTAAATATTAATTAGTAATATTGAACCCTAAATATTAATTAGTAATTTGAAGAAGCTTCTCAAAAAAAAAAAAAAAAAAAAAAAGGAAAAAAAAAAAAAAGGGGGGGGGGGCCTGAAAGAAGTAATTATTTAGTACTTGGTAGGTATACCGTTTTCGGTAGACGTGGCTTGAAAATGACAAGCCAGTCAAAACGACTTGATACAAAATATGTTACGATAGCGGTAAAACGGAAAATCTCCGGTGACATATATGATAAATTAAATCACAATTAATATATTTGTATTATAGCAATATGTTGCTACTTTTTATTTTTCACCTATACTTTAATATGATCTTTCATGTCTCTAATTTCAGTTTTTCTAGCAGTATATGAGCATTAAAAGTGTTGGCTTAACTCATCGTCAGAGAAAAAATAAGTATTTCTTATTAGATAATTACGTATACAAGTCTAATGTGCAATGATCTTTGTAAGCATATGTTTCAGTGACTGAAAAAATTAAAATTCTAAACCTCCCCATAAATATAATAAATACACCTTACAAAGTAATTTATTAATTCTAATTAAGCTCCATATACTACGTTAAAAAGAAATTCACCAAAATGTACACAAATTAGCTCTACTTATATGCGCATACATTTCATAAACACAAATTACTTCCGAAAACAATTCTTTGCTATACAAATGTAAAATTCAAAATACTTCTAAAAATACACACTATTAATACTTAAACAAGAGCACAGAACTGTTTCGAAAATGAAGGGAAAGCTTTATACATATATATAAAGTTAACCCTTGTTGCTCACATACCAGACTTGTATTTCCTCTTCCCTTTAGGCATCCGTAAAGTACCGAATATATCAATGAATTTATCTAAAATTTAAAAAAAAATCAAGAAGGACAACACGTAGAAATAAACTTTCTAAAACTTCCAATCATAAAATAAGGTACTTTGCACATACATCCGTAAATCTGCATCCACATGATGATCAGTTCTCTTTCAAATCAACGATGGCAGAAATGCCAGAACGGAGTGACGTTGATACAATAAGAAGAGAATCTCAGCATAAGGAATTGATCCAAGCAAAACAGAAGGAATTTCTCAGCAATAAATAAATAAACATCAAATGACTCAACCTATTTAATTTCTCATACTTATTAGACCTTATATCATGATCAATTGCACAAGTAATCATGAAATATATTACATCATAATTATTTACATATTAAATAATATGGTATATTTTCATTAATGTAATTACTGTTTCTAATTATTTTTTAATACTTAAACAGTTCTAGCAAGATATATTACAATTAACTCTTTTAATACCTTGTTTTACAGACTCGTAAAGAATATTTATTTCGAAGCAAACTTCAATTTATTATTTATAAATTTTTATAGTAATTCATGATCCAAAATGAGCTTTCATTTTTTACAAAATTTTGCGTTTCATTCAAGGATTTTTGAAAAAAATTTTTCGATCCATATATTAAAAAAATAATTACATAGTTTTTGTAGCATATTTTTAATATTACAACAATTTATAATAAATCTTAAACCAGAATTTAAAATCCGCTTTTATGAATCTTTTTTAAATTGTGTCATGTTAGGAAAAATAACTTTTTGGCTTCAGATATTTCACTATTGGGAATGGCAGTAGTGCTCAGCTTTTATAGAAATGGAAGACATTTTTGTAGGTAGTTGCAGAATTGTAGGGTGCTGGCATATGAGCTAATCTGTGATTAAAATTAGTGTTTGACAATGAGTTCTGACCACGATGAAAGTGTTGAGCATTTGGATGATCAAAATGCACAACTTGGTGTAACAAAAATGGATACTGTGCCTTTAGTAAAGGAAACTGGAGTTAGTGAACATCCAAAGCCGAAGCGGAGGAGGAGGGGGAAAAAGCGTAAACACAGGAAGGAAAGCGCCGCTACGTGTGAGAACGAGAACCACGATGAGTGCGAGAGCGAACAGCATGTGGAGGACGAGCATGAAAATCATGTTGACTGTGAGTCGCCAACTTGGGATTCTGACGAGGACTTGAGTTGTGATATAAACGCATTCACTGATGTTATTATTCGCCCTGTAAATGTGCCTAAAGCGCCTAAAAATTCCACACAGTTTATTATAGATGATCACAACGAATGTCGTCTGTATATGAGCTTTGAGACTCCAAATCCTTACTCAGCTGGCCCACCAAATTTTGAAGGAAAGGATTGTATTTTAACTGAACCTGATTTTGAAGATGCTGCATATAGAGACATCGATTACGAATATGAATCTCCGCAGGATTTTGATAATTCTGCATATTATGATCGAGAATTTGAACTGTCTTACAAGAGCAATCGTTTTGATGAACTTATGCTGTTGCCTAGAAGTCAGTTGATTGCAGCATACACAAATCTGGAGTTACGCTTGAAAGAATTAAATGATGAATTAGCTGTGGAAAATCCTAGTCATATTCTGGAAAAGCTGCAAGCGGAACTTCTAGAACTGCAAGAAAAACATAGCTTTTTAAAGGAATGCAATGCTAAACTGACTGCTGTGGTGTTAAAAAAAGAATCCGATTGCCCCGAGGATGCTTCATCCACAGATTTAACAGCAAGTATGTCAGTATCCCACAATGAACATATGTTTGACATTAGTAGTGATTCTGATAAAGAACTTAGTCAAGAAGTTGCTGCTCCAGAACACTTAAGTGATGAACCCAACAGTGGATCTGATTCTGATATCCAGAATGTTGGAATAAATTCCTCGTCTGGAGAGTCATGTGAAGAAACTAATGATATTGAAGTGAGTAACTGTCCTCAACTTGTGTCTGAGGAGGAAACTGAGGATATTGAAGATAGATTATCTCCTGAAATTATGTCTGAAGAAGAAACGGATGGTATTGAACAGAGATTATGTTCTGAACTTGTATCTGAGGAAGATGACACTAATGGTAGTGAAAAGAGACTGTGTTCTCAGACTGTGTCTGATGAAGAAAATGATGATATTGAAGAAAGATTGTGTCATCAACTTGTATCTGGGGAAGACACTAATGATAGTGCAAAAAGACTGTGTTCTCAGACTGTATCTGAAGAAGAAACCGATGGTATCGAAGAGAGATTGTGTCCTCTACTTGTGTCTGAGGAAGATACTAATGACATTGGGGAGAAATTGTGTTCTCCACTTGTGTCTGAGGAACAGCCTACTCAGACTATTAGAAATGATTCTTCACATGGACAAATTCTTTTAAATGATTCTAATAGTCATGATAATTACAATACTGAAGCATCTCACTGTACTGTTGAGGTATGTGCAGAGTTAAAAGTTCATGAAAATTGCTCTGAGTTACATGTTAAGCAAGCAAATATTTCTGCAATTGAAGCACCATAAAAAGAAATGCTTCTGAAAGATAGTCAGATTTGATCAGTCAAATCATCTTGTGTATATGCATAAAATCAGTGTTAGAACTGTAATGTTTCTCTATGTTTAAAAGTAAAAATTCTTTCTAAATGTTATGTAAATATTGTATGCATTGTTACTTTTCAGTTATGCACTTGCCGCACATTTTGGCATCTGTGAAAGAGAAGCCAAACATATGCAGAGACACGATAATACTGTTGGGGAACAAATCATCATGTCTGTATGTGTTTAATTTAACACATTTTAATTGTGTACAAGTTAAAAAAGAAAACCTGCCAGACTGTGTGGCCAGTGCATAACAGAAAAGCACCTATGCGTTATAGTAATTAGTTTTTTAGTAATGTGTAGAATACAATGCCAGCCAGCAGCTATTTTTTAACTTTTTGAAATGTAAATCTTTTAAGACCTGTTCTTGAAGTGATGTATTTAATACATTTAATGACATTGATTTTTATAACAACTAACTTTTTATTTTTGTGATCATAGAATTGAGAGTTTTAAAAGTAGGGTAATGTGTAAAAAATTTTAATAATTCCTTGATCAGATAAAAGGGTCTACGATAAGTCTCTGTTATTCCAGTAATTAAATAAAGCTAAAACTAATAATGGTTTCTAATTTAGTATTCCAAATTTCTGAAATGATGTATATGCTACTTAAAGTATGAGAGAATGCTTTATGATAGAATTAATTACCCAACTACCTAAAGTAACCTTTCAATTTAAAAATGTTCACGAGTTGTCAAAAATGTTTTCAATGTGACCATTTATATTTACATGTCAAAGTTTAGGTAAGATGCCATCTATGTTGTATTAGCAAATACTGAACTTTTCAAATATATATTCATAAGGAATTTTACTTACTGGCTTTGTACTTCATTTCTTTTGTGCCTTTGTGGATTTGGTTCAAAATTTCTTATCTGGAATAGTGTAGGAGTACCATATATTTAGTTTTTAAGTTGTGTCATTTTTTGCTACTTTTACTTCTGCCCCTTTTGGTGAAATGTTGTTCACCAAAAGTTTTTTGTTTTTCAGGAAATTAAGTATTGCATCATTTGTATAATTATTATGTGCAGAAATAGGTAAAAAAAATAATAATTTGTAAAAAGCTAATAAGTTTTGTCTACAGTTTACTATTTGAGTTAGTACATATTCAGGCGACTTTAAACAAATTGTTTTTCAGTCATTATATTGTATTTACGATTGTATTACAAATTTTGACTAGCTCTGTAATTTGCTGTTAAATAGTTAGAGCTGGTAAATTTCTTCGTCATATTGTGATATAGAAGTTCAGTATTTCTTTTTTACTGAAGTCTGGCTAACTAACTGTGTTACTGTACAGTGCAAGTGTAATTTTCATTTACATATATGGCTGCATTCATTTAGAAATTAATGTAGTATTTCTTTGTCTTTTACATTAAAAATAGTTTTCTTTAGTATGAAATGTATATAAATATGCTGTTGTGTCATCTGCTATGGACTGCATATGTTTTCTTGTATATGGACTGTGTAAGTATTTAAGTTGTTATTGAATATTTTCTTTATACTGATGAACAAAGGAATTATATGTAATGAATAAGATTTTGAATTTAGTTTGACTGTAGAATTGGTTGTCCTTGCCAGATTGGCTATTTATTGCAATTTCTGATAACATACGTTGGTACTTCTTTATTATAGCAGCCACCGCCAACATTGAATTGCTAATCAACTCAGGTATCTCGTCGTGTTCTTATACCTCGCTATATGTTACATCTCGGTTGATTAGCAATTACATTTTGGTGGCCAATGTAATAAGGAATAACCTATACTTTTATTCAGATTTTAATTACAGTATCTTCTAAGTTAAACAATTTTTTTTTTTTTTTTTTGATAAGTTACAATTCATAAAGTATTTTCTAGTTAAAAAATTACATTGTTTTGGTAAAAGCTATATTTCTGTAATGAGCTTAATAAAATACTTATAAAAATTAGTAGCATAATTATAGACAGTGTGATTTGAGTATGATTATGGAAAATTTCTCTACTAATTTACCAGATACTTTGGTTAAAAATTTTTCGTTAGCTTAATGCAGTTTTCTGTTGTTCTCTGAAAATATGTAATAAAAGATTAAAAGATAAAAATTAAGATGTTCACTATAAAATAATATATTAAGTTATGGCAAGTAAGTCTAAAATTTGTAATATTCTTTTAATGAAATGAGAATTTCATTTCTCACATTAGCCAAACAAAGGAGGTTGTTTGTTATCTTTCCAAAGAAAATATTTTATAGGAAGTATAATTTTATTAATTCTCTTTTCTAAATGTTAGATTGCCCCACGTAACATTTTGTAAATTTTTTAGGGAAAGTATTTAATTTTTTATGTATGTAATAGACTCATTTTTTGATTTGTTAAGAGTTTACAAAGTGGAAGATTGGTTAATGGTTAACAGGTGAATTATGCATTAGTACAATTTGTGTGATACTGCACAATGTTATTTTGCAAACGTGAAAGTCTGGAATTATGTTATAGGCATTAATATTTTGTTGATTAGATGTCTAACTATGAAATTTGTAGGATAACCAGCTTGTAATTTATTCTAGAAATCTTAAAAGAAATGTTTGAAGTGTGTGTGTGTATGTATTTTCTAACAAATCAACAATAACTTGAATTTTGTTTTGCTGTCTCTATTAGTCTTTATTTGAACTTCTAGTCATTTAATAAAATTTACTGCCTGTTAATTAAAAAAGTTTGTTATCTAAAATTACAGGTTAAATTAAGAACCATTTGGAAATATTGCTTGAGAAAACTAAAAATTATCAGGATTAAAATGGCTAAGAAATTAGCAAATTGCTGATTAGGAAAATATTCTCTTTTTATTCTCATCTATTTGATAATTAAAATGGGAGTATGTCCAATGATATTCTTGAATCTGACATTGAAGGAAATAAACTATCCATTTGATTTATGTTATCCAGTTTATTTATATGAAGCAAGAATAATTAATGATCTTAATTGCATTGTCTGAAAATTATATTTGTCACTCCAGAGTTTGTCCTATGCTATGTTGTAAATGTCAGGTGTTTCTTCTCAAGTGCTTCAATTAGAAGAGGATTTTAAAGAAGTTTATGATTTTGACCTTAAAGATATGAGAAAAGTCTAAATGTATAAATTGTAGTAGTGATCAAATAGCTAACTTTAAGTGCTGCCTATTGCATTGTAAGATATCTAAGATAAATGCCAAATTGTCTGAAAATGTTAGAAAAGCTCCTTAAACTCTTTACATTTGGCACATTTACACCTGAGAGCAAACTATTAAATATCAAGAAAGACTTTTAGCAAGGGATCTCACATTCCTATGTAGGGATTTAAGAGGCAAAATGTTTTTCTTTTCTTTTCTTTTTAATTTTTTGAAAGTATGGTCTGTGGTAAGAATTTTTTGCAGTCTGTCTGTTCTCTGAATGACATTTATTCAATAAGCCTGTCAAAGCTTATTTCGATAAGCATTTGCAGAATTAATAGTATTCAAATGTCCAATTTAAGTCTGAAAATTTATGTAGAATGTGTAAAAAGTCATTGCTATCATTATTTGTAACAGATTACTGAATAACTGGAAAATATTTATTTTTAAGTTATAAAACAATTGCTATTGCAAAAGTTTTAGCTAATTTTAGATCACCTGTTAACCTGTAAGTGAATACTTATTGTTCAATGTAAGTGAACAAACAATGTGTTTAAGTGATTTGTTAAATGTCTTTTTTAAAATTTCCAATGATTTAAAAAATATTTTATATCTAAGTTTTTTCTTCAAAATTATTAATTTCTAAATTGTTAATTTTTTTCATAAGTTTTATTGTCTAGGAAAAATTCTTGCTTATATTTTACATGCCTTTTAAACAAATTTTCTTCTGTATTCCTGAGAAAGTGTTGATTAAGAATTTTTTAAATTATAAGACTTCTGCAAGTCTTAATATTTTTTTTACAACTTCTTGAAATAATACTTTGTTTTCCAAAAATATTAATTTATAAATATTGATTTGATGCTATCATCCTTTATGTTTACTTTAATTGCCAAGTTGTAATTATTTTGTACATAAAGATATGTACTGTATGTGTGCTTTTAAAACATTATAAACTAAATTTGTAATCTGTAAATATAGCTCAAAGAAACTGCAATAAAGATTTTGCCTTGTAGTGAAAAATAATTTTATCATGAACATAACAGCATCACATCCAAGAGCTTGATTTATGAAACTGGTGGCATGGGGTAAAACATCTTTTGGAGGCCTCTTCTCTTGTAAAGGTAGTAGGTATCACTGATGTAAATTATGCAAAGTATTCCATGAAATAACCTAACACTTAAGTATTCTTTTATATAAAGTTGTTTAAATAAAAAATATGTTTCACTTTTCTTTAATTTGTTTTCATGGTTTTCGTTTATTATGTATTGTATAAAATATGACATCATACATTTTGAAATGGTGTATTTTTTTCTGGAAAAAACTGGAGCAGAGACAAGAATGTAAAGCATTATTACTAATTTTACTGCAAATCATAATTAATTGAATTACAGAGATGTGGAAAACTATTTTTAAACTTTAGTTTACTAATCGAGACTTCTCAAGGGGATACCAGTAGCTGATGAGAGAGCAAGGCAAAAGTCCGGTGTCCAATTTAATAGAACTAAGACTGAAATATGAAATTGAAAATTTCTATCTTTTATATATATATATATATTTGTTTAAACATGGAAATAATAAAAGAATTACTTTAAATGTCACAGAAGGATTAAATGCTAAGGATATGCTTTTTTGCCCTTCTGTAATTCAAAATCTGACCCTATAAAGTACTTATAAAATTCAAATTATAGAGACGTGGAAAATCAAAATAATGGAATTTGCAATTTTATATGAGCAAAATTATACGCATGAAGTTCAATATTTTTTTTCCTAGGTCATTAAAATTATATGAATGATTTTTATTATGACTTTAATTGATAAATATTTCTCTCAATTTCTTTTTGAGCCATACTGAGATTTTATTTCTGCTGGTGTTTGTTTTTGTTTTAAACAAATAGCATATAAAATATGGTAATAAATACAAATTTGTATAAATTACTTTAGTATGTATGTAATAAGTAAATTTGGTACTAAACACATTGAATGAATGAATGTATGTATAGGTAACTAACTGTTCCTCAACGAGGATATCCCATCAAGGCTGCTATAACACAATAGTATGGAAATAATTGCTATACAACTTAAAAACTGCTTTAGCTGTTAAGTATTTGTGAATACTTATGGTCTGTTAGAAAAATATATTTCTAATTTTATTGTACTGATTGTATCAAACAGCATTTCAGAATGTACAGGGAAACCAGCGATTAGAGAAATGAGGGCCTGTTAAACCACCATTACTAGGATCTGTACATATCCTATTTTAACAAGCCCTCACTTCCCTAATCATTGGTTTACCAACTTAAAGTGATACGAAGTACCTCATCTGTTTATTCTTAAATGATTCAGTGTGACTGGCAGCGTCCAGGAAAACACAATGTTATCGGAAAAATAAAGCGATTACTGATTAAAAGAATAAAATCATAGTGAGATAATGAATTAAATGATCCTTTCTTATCAGTAAATGACTATATAATTAAAGTGTTTAGAGATATTTGATCTCAGGGGAATTCTCATTTCATTGTAAATCTTGGAGGATTGTACTTCGAAGAAGTCATTCTTAACTCTTACGATACTCACGATGACTGAAATATTTGATGATCACTTAATACTGTCCTATTTCAAAGATTTTCATGGCAAAGAGAAGGCTGATTCTGTGTTTGCAGAAGTATGGACGTATCTTTTCCATACCGTGAAACTGAAAATTTACAACCACCAACATATTCCAGCTCGACTTTGTTGCACCTTCGGGCATGAAGATAACTCACCTACAGTTTTTCGGGGACATCGATCGTCACCCAGCCCTGAACTCCCATGCTGCAGCAAATTAAAAATGAAGTGGAAGCACTCACCCACGAAAAATAAAATTACGTTCTGCTCAACAAATATCCTGACGGAGATGCCAAGATATCCGCGCACAGAGACGACGAAAGCTCCCTGGACCCTTCCTACTGCATTCCCACACTGAGTTACGGTATGACATGAGTAATGCATTTTACAAGAAAGAATTATACAACTCACATTCTGAGTCTGGAACATGGATCGCTTCTAGTGATGAAACCCCCCACGAATATAGTTTGGAAACACGGTATCCCACCCCAGCCCAAAGTGAAGACTATTCGAATAAGTTTGATATTTAAAAAAAAATTATATCTCTGCAATTGAACCGTTCTTCTGATGAAATGGACTTCAGTTATTACTGCAACATAACTAACTCCATAACTCCCAAACCATATATGAATAAAAAGACTTTTCCACGCAAGAAAGCACATTTAGAAGATGAGATACCCCGGGACGACCGGCTGAGTCGGCATTATCAGTCATCACGAAATCATGATGAAGTGATCAATTATTGGCCATTAGAACGGATGTGTCGTCTTTCCATCGTTGTAAGTAGAAATAATAATGTTCGAATTTATACACGGAACTTTGCAAAAAAGAATAATTTCAACTGTGGATCTTCTCTTCAGGGTGTGAGTATGACTTTTGTGACGTAATATGATTTCATGAACAAATTACCAAAGTTTAATTTCAAATATTCGGAAGCATCTTTCATAGCCAATAATCAGTGCAATATTTTGTGCAAATGCGCCATGTGTTCTTCAACAAATTTTTAAAAGCTCCTGCGGTGGTTTCCGTCTCGTAGCAAATTGTTTTTGAATTAGAGTCATATCAGACCGATAAACTTTTAGATTTATACAGTGAAATAACACAGACTATCCAAACTGCTCTATTTCAAAATGTGTTACCACATGAGATAAGAAAATGGCGATCAGAATGCCAGCAGCTGGAACATTTGACTAGCCAGCAATGCATGCAGAAAATTAAGGTGTCCGCCGATAACATCGCGGACGAAAACGTCGCGGAGAAAACAACGCAAGGCGAAAACGTCGTGCTACAAAACATCGTGGGAGAACACATCGCAAAGAGAAAACATCGCAGTTCTAAAACATCGTCGTCGAAAATAAGGCGGTTTAAAAACATCGTCGTCGAAAATATCGTGGTAAAAAATAAAGTATCTACAAATCATCGCATGACGATAACATCGCAGACATGCTTTTTTCAGTCTTTAATAACTGTAAATGGATATTCCCATAATGATTTGTGAGCGCAAGATGTAAAGAAGGATAATTTTTACTTTCATATTTTTTATTAAATATTAAACTTTTGCTAAGAAAATAAGAAGAAAACTTAAGCATAGAAAATTAATGCAACTTATAGCACTTAATAGAATTTTAAATCGACATAGTTAACTAACAAAGACCATTAAGAAATAATTTTTTATAAAGATTTTACAGGTAATTTTTCATAAAAAGTATAATCTATTAAGTTGCATTTAATTTTCTATGCTTAAGTTTCCTTCTTATTTTTTCAGCAAAAATTTATTAGTTAATAAAAAGATGTGACAGTAAAACTTATCCTTCCTTACATCACTTGCGCTCACAAATCATTATGGGAATATCCATTTACAATTATTAAAACCTGAAAAAAGAATGTCTGCGATGTTATCGTCATGCGATGATTTGTAGATACTTTATTTTTTACCACGATATTTTCGACGGCGATATTTTTAAACTGCGAAGTTTTTGAACCGCTTTATTTTCGACGACGATGTTTTGTACTACGATGTTTTAGAACTGCGATGTTTTCTCCCACGATGTTTTGTAGCACGACGTTTTCGCTTTGCGTTGTTTTCTCCGCGACGTTTTCGTCCGCGATGTTTTCGGCTGTAACCGAAAATTAACAATATTATTTATGAGGAGTACTTAACTACTCTCAACGAGGTATTTATCTGTGACGGATGTGCAGTCGATCATCCAAGCCAGCATTGCCATCCTTGTATAATGGAGACGACTCGAGAAAAAGCTATGAATAATACTGACAAAGCTATATTGCCAATGAACTTTAAAGACTTGCTCAAAAACTTTATTTAAATATTTGCTGTTGTATTTATGACAGTGATGATGTGTGAAAGAATATTTCATTGTCAACTTTACGTGACAGAATAGAAAATTTGTGAGAAAAAATTGTTTTAGTAAGTATATATTTTAATGAAATTTTTTTTTATTTACATTGAAATGTATCTTTATTTAGCTGTCAACTGTTTCATACAGGGGTGTTTGTGCTCCGGGGATTTTGAACTTCGATCCCGGATCGTCGTTCAAAAAGAAGTAGGAATAATATTGAATTATTTATTTTGATTGGGGTAATTTTGTTTGCTTTGAAAGCAGAGAACACAAGGTCAGTGTGTGTGGTGAAAATTTTACCTTTCTTTCTCCAAAGGCAGTGATAATGCGTGAAAAGGGGGAAAAAACTTCTTTTTTGTTCTTTCCTTATTGCGAGTTATGACTCATTCCCTCGGTTCTCGGACATTCTCTTCTGGATTCTTTTCGGCAAGTAGGCACGGCAGAAAAAAAAGGGAGAGACTTCGTTCGACCAGATGGGCGATCACGTGACTCTGGGTTCAAAGGTCGTATCTCTCCTGGCGTGGGGCCAATAAGTAGAGAAGGGGGAATTTTCGCCGTATTAGCTATTTGTCATTGATCGCTTCTCAACATTTTTTTCTCCGCTGTGTAAAATTTTCGTTTCATTTATTGATGCACGTGTAAATTTTTCGTTTCGTTTATTGAGATATTTTTTAATTTATGTACGCAAGAGAATTTCACTATGAAATTTCTCGATATAAATAGTGATATTATACAAGTAAAAGAAGGTGTCCGGAATGCATTTAGGTGGAATTGGATTGAACGGAGAGATGGTAATGGGGATACCATCGGCACATGGTGCAAGAAAATAAATGTTGCTGGACAAGCATATTGTGTTTTTTGTAACTCACTGCTGAAGTATGGTGGGGAAGGATTCAAGGCTTTCACAAATCATTCTAAAACTGTGACGCACATAAAATATTCAAAGTGCATTAGACATTCAATGACTTTAAGTAATTATGCTAATTCAAAAAATACTGATGACTTACTGGAGACTGATGCTCGGCCATTGGATATAGTGACAAGAAAAGCACGCCAAGAGGTATTAATAACTTCGTTTATCGCCGAGAATTCTCTTTCTTTCAATGTAGCTCCCAATTTAATTGAACTCTGCAAACAGTTGAGCCGCGATCAGACGGCACTAAACTCGTTGGAAATGTCCAGGACTACTGCATGTTATAAGATGAAATATGGGCTCGCAAAAACTATTAAGGAAAATATCATTAAAACTTTAAAGGAGACTCCATTTTCTCTAA